AAACCAGTCTTTGCACCGGGCACGGTGGCTCACCCCTGTAATCCTAGCACTTTGGGAGGCCAAGGTGGGTGGATCACCTAAGGTCAGGAGTTCAAGACCAGCCTGGCCATCATGGTGAAACCCCATCTTAAAAAAAAATAAAACACCAGTCTTTGCAACCCTTGGAGCCTGAGATCTGGGTTTTTATTGCAAGAGTTAAGAAATAAACTTTAGATATGTCAAAAAAAAAAAAAAAAAAAGCCAAACCAAACAAAAACAAAGCATTGATTTCAATTCTTCCTTCAGAGCTATGTCATATAAGGGCTGTTGACACATAACATCCTCTCTGGGCTTTGGACCAATTTATTATTTCATAATAAATAATGAACACTTTATTATTTCATTATTTCATAATCAACATTGGCCATTGATTTCCAGAGAACCTCATTTTCAAAATATAGAATTGGTCCTCTTAATGCTGGCCCTAGATAATGAAGTCCTATTCCTGACACTAAGTAGTAAAAGAGCTGCAATATCTTGGTAACATATTTAACTAGGCAACAGTCCTTTCTTGTGGTCTTCCAGAGGTTGAGGTGTCTGCAATAGTTCAGAATAGTACTTGCAAGGAAGAACCTTGGTGTTACTAGAGAATGGTTTCTTTGAGTTGTGGTTTGTTGAAGAATTTGGGGAGTTAATGGAGATCTCCGTAGATTAGAACATCCATCCATCCCTGTAGATTAGAACATTTTATCCAAGTTTTGCAATTGCAGCTGCTCCAGTAGATGGCGCCTCTAACTCTTTTACTGTCAGCTTCTTACAAGTTTCTCTTGTGTTTCTAATTCAAATATTTCTTTCCTTGATTTTTATTTTATTTATTTATTTTATTTATTTATTTCTTGACACGGGATCTCACTCTGTTGCCCAGGCTGGAGTGCAGTTGAGCGATCACGGCTCACCGCAGCTTCAACCTCTGGGGCTGAAGCTATCTTACCACCTCAGCCTCCCTAGGACTGTGGGTGCTAGCCACCACACCTGGCTCTTTTTTCTTTCTTTTTCTTTTTGTTCTGGGTTTTTTTTTTTTTTAAAGTAGAGACGGGTTCTACCTATGTTGCTTGGGATGGTCTTGAACTCCGAGATTCAAGCAATCATCCCACATCAGCCTTCCAGGGTGCTGGAATTATAGGTGTGAGTTACTGTATTCAGCCTTAAAAAGTGAGTTTTCAACTCACAATTCTTTCTCTTTCTTTTTTTTCCCTCTAGATTCTGTCAGTACATTTCCTTTTCACAACTTCTACAGCTGAAGATTTTCCTTTTAAAAAATAATCTTCCCAGCCCATGCAGCATGTCATCCCATCCAGCTTGGCCAACATGGTGAAACGACGTCTCTCCTAAAAATAGAAAAATCAACAGGGCATGGTGGCAACACGCCTGAAATCTCAGCTACTCGGGAGGCTGAGGCAGGAGAACTGCTTGCACCTGGGAGCTGGAGGTTGCAATGATTGGAGATAGTGTCACTGCACTCCAGCCTGGGCGACAGAACAAGATACTGCCTCATTGAAAAAAAAAAAAATTCTGGCTGGGCACGGTGGCTCACTCCTGTGATTCCAGCACTTTGGGAGGCCAAGGTGGGTGGACCATCCTGGCTAGCATGGTGAAACCCCATCTCTACTAATAATACAAAAAATTAGCCAAGCGTGGTGGCATGCGCCTGTAGTCCCAGCTACTTGGGATGCTGAGGCAGGAGAATCATTTGAACCCAAGAGGTGGAGGTTGCAGGAAACAAAAAAAAAAACATAAAAAACAAGACTGGGTGAAAAAACAACTCCTACTGAAAAAAAAAAAAAAAAAAATCCACCAATACTCTGCACAGACATTGATAGACCTGTAGTCATCATTCCAAGAAGCTGGCAAACCTCAGGAAATGATGCAGTCGTGGAGCCTTTTATTCGTTTTGTTTTGTTTCATACCCAATTCCTGCAGAGCGGTCGTGGAATCTCTGGAGAAGTTGTGGCACTAATGGGCAACATAAATAAAAATGTATTTACAAATGCGTTCCCAGTACTTCCCTGGCAAGTGCTGGGGAAAAACCCAGCAGGCTACAGAAGCATCTAGGAAGGTTACAAAGGTGCAGAAACAAGAAAGAGCAGAGGGGCTAATTGAGGGAAATGCAAGAGGGAGCTGCAGGCTGCAGGGCTTGTTGATGGGGGTGACCTCTAAGCTGAGATCTGAAGGAGGAGCAGGAGCCAGCCAGGCAGTGACCTGATGGGAAAGAAGAGGGGTGGGTCAGGGGTATGTTGCAGGGAGAGGAGCAGAGACAGTATCTACTGTTGAGAAAAGAGAAAAAGTCCTAGTTCAAGGAAAGGTAAAATCTGTGTCTCCAGGGAATTTTAGAAAGGTATGTCTCGCCAGGCACAGTGGCTCCTGTGTGTAATCTCAGCTCTTTGGGAGGCCGAGGTGGGCAAACCATCTGAGGTCAGGAGTTTGAGACCAGCCTGATCAACATTGAGAAACGCCATCTCTACTAAAAATACAAAAATTAGCCGGGCATGGTGGCACATGCCTGTAATCCCAGCTATTCGGGAGGCTGAGGCAGGAGAATTGCCTGAACCCGGGAGTCAGAGGTTGTAGTGAGCTGAGATCACGCCACTGCATTCCAGCCTGGGTAACAGGCTCCATCTGAAAAAAGAAATCTGTTATTTCTATTGGTGACAAAATAATGGATAAGGCTAATATTACTGTAGTTAGTTGCTTACCGTTTTTGAAGAGTGTGCTTTCAATTAGAGAGTATGGAAATAAGGATGAAATCTTTTTTCTGAACCAAATAACCCACTGAATTCTATCCATGGATCCCTTGGAAATGTGTGGAACTGGCCGAAACCCTTCCTAGTAGCAGGGTGAGCAAGGCTAAGGATGGGTATCTCAATGTCCTGAGCCCAAGGAGGTATCAACATTCCCAACGGATTTGGATCTATAACAGGAAGGAGCCACTAGAGCCAGCAGAGAAGGGGCCACTGCCTTCCACACTCAGTGCCCAAACCTTGCTGAAGCAACTATCAGGTGCTGCGATGTGGAGTATGATGTAATGCAGACAGCCTCGTGGAGGAGAGAATCTATAAACCATTACTGCAAGAGATTGATAAATATTGGTCTTTTATTTTATTTATTTATCTTTTGAGGCAGAGTCTTGCTCTGTCACCAGGTGCCAGGCTGGAGCACAGTGACACAATCTCAGCTCACTGCAATCTCTGCCTCCTGGGTTCAAGCAATTCTCCTGCCTCGGCCTCCCTAGTAGCTGGGACCACAGGTGCATGCCACCACGCCCAGCTAATTTTTGTATTTTTTAGTAGAGAAGGGGTTTCATCATGTTGGCTAGGATGGTCTTGATCTCTTGACCTCATGATCCACCTGCCTCAGCCTCTCAAAGTGCTGGGATTACAGGCGTGAGCCACGGTGCCCGGCCTGATAAATACTGATTATTAATCTACAGCACAGTATAGGTGGGTGATTCAGCCAGTGTCCAACAGATTTGGATTACACTGTCCTTTCTGTGATTTAGAAGCTGTATAACCTTGGGCAAACTAATATTTTAGTCTCCTCATCCGTAAAACGAAGTGATAAATATATCTTTCATGATCATGGGTTATGGTGATGTAATTCACATAAAACATGCGGTGCCTGTAGATTAAAAATACTGGAGGCCGGGCGCGGTGGCTCACGCCTGTAATCCCAGCACTTTGGGAGGCCAAGGCGGGTGGATCACGAGGTCAAGAGATCGAGACCATCCCGGTCAACATGGTGAAACCCCGTCTCTAAAACCTACAAAAAATGAGCTGGGCATGGTGGCGCGTGCCTGTAATCCCAGCTACTCAGGAGGCTGAGGCAGGAGAATTGCCTGAACCGAGGAGGCGGAGGTTGCGGTTAGCCGAGATCGCGCCATTGCACTCCAGCCTGGGTAACAAAGAGCGAAACTCTGTCTCAAAAAAATAAATAAATAAAATAAAAATAAAAATACTGGGTAAGGTGTCTCACGGTAGCTTTTGAAGTGAAACCTGGTATTTCGTAATCAGGACAGGTATTAAACACCCTCGAGTAACAGTCCACAATAATTGAAACTCCTCAGTGAGGAGCTAGGTTAAAGTTGGAACAGAGCAGCATTGAAACATATGGGATGGTAATAACTGAGGAATTCTATGCACTGTTGTTAACTTCATATAAAAAGGAATTAAATCCAGTATATTTTCTGATTCCCCGAATGTCCCTTTCCCTCCTTTTTTCTTATCTGTGATGTCAGAGTGTTTCAAATACTGTATTTCAAGCATTTCAGACTTGAGATTGATGATGCCAGATTAATTGAGTAATAAATAATGAGTGGAGTATTCAACTTTTTCCACTCAGCAAATTTACATTGATTATAAGCAGAAATCGGGCCAGGCGCGGTGGCTCACGCCTGTAATCCCAGCACTTTGGGAGGCCGAGGCGGGTGGATCATGAGGTCAAGAGATCGAGACCATCCTGGTCAACATGGTGAAACCCCGTCTCT